GCATTGTAAAGCAATATTGTGAATAATTAATAATGAATATTATATATCGTTCTCAAATATTCATTTTAATTTTATCCCAATTATTTAATTATATTTAATTTTAAAGAACCCTCCCAATTAAAGAACATTTTAAGAAATGAATTTATTATTGAATGGTAAGATAAAATTTTTTAAATAATTAAGTTTATTTAAAAAATATGTATTATTTAAATTATTAAAATTATTACAGTGAAATAAAAATAAAAATTAGAAGAATATTTTTCAATAATAAAATAAATATTCTAACTTTTTACAGAAATTATAGGAAATCTTGACTATCAAATCTAAATACAATTCGAATTTTAATTTTTTTTTATAAATACTAATAAGTTAATCATTTATAACTTTAATTAATTATTTCAAAATATAATAATAGAAAATACTAGATTTATTTATATTGGTTTCATATGAAACCAAATAATATATCACAAATAAATACCAATAATTTTAATATCAACCACAAGTAAATATATGTGATTTTTATCACAATTCCATTATATGGACAAACAACAAGACAATATAATATAAATTATGTTCAAAAACTTACAATTATTTCCGGAAGAGGGTAGGAATAAACAGCCACACGTACACACACACACTAGGCTTAATATGCCTTACTCAATATACTATAACAAAATGTAAAAACAAAATTGTAAAATAACACCCTTATATAGAAAACTGTTAATCAATTGTGCAGATCGGCAGCTATATATAGTCGATAGGGCGATATTGCACTAGCGAGTACTCGAAGCCGCCTAGCGGTATGATCGGTATTACGATTCGGCATGCAAGCCGATCGAGGCGACAATTCAAATTTATATAATACAATTATATATTATACAATTATATATTATACAATTCTGCGATGTATATATTGATTGCTGGGACATTTTTTCATCCAAAATTATTTTTACATAATAAAAAATATTATTCATCAAATATAAACACACAAATATTATTATAATATAATAAAAAAGAAGATTTATAAATTAAATTAAATTCCTTTATATAAATTATATGTATAATTATATATATATAATATATTATATGTATATGTATAATTATATATATGTATAATAATAATAATAATAATTATATGTATAATTATATATATATATATATATATATATTAAATTCCTTTATATAAAGTAAACTGTTTTTTTCTTGATGCAATTCTTTTAGGTATAATATTAAACTCATAGAAAAATTTATAGATAAATTACAATATAAATGTTATATACAATAATTGATCTAAATTGGAAGAAAAATAATCGTTTATTTGTATTTGTACAAGATAATAATAATTCAAGATATTTGATAAAAATGCACAGAAATTATTCGCGAAAATAAATAATGAATTATTGAGTTATACATCTTTCTTTGAATTTAAACTTAATTAAACACCATTTTAATAAAAAGAGAATAAAAAAATTAGAATATTGCGTTCATAAAGAAAATTAATCAAACAGAATTCATAATTTGTAATATATAGAGTCACAAAAGATTTGATCACGTAATCATTAGCATAAAAACTTACAGAGTAATTACAAAGTTCAGGGTACATTACACTAATAATTTAATAACATCAAGGAGAGAAAAGATCCTCATAGGATTGAGAACAAATTACTCTTGTTATTATTACTTTATGACTATGAACCTTGACATTTTCACCCTTTCCTGTTAATGCTATCCTTTTAGTTGCATTAATATGACAGGAAAGATAACGAACGATACTCGAACGACGACTGGCTAGTATATCTTAATAGCTTCACTTCGTTCCACCATTATCGTAAAACGATCCTGTATGCCACTCGAGGAAATAATTAACACAGAAATAAGATCTATCGCCGTACGAATCTAGATTACAACGACAAGAGTGAGTAGGATCAGAATTTGATATTTTTATTTCTGGGGCCAAGTATTAATTACCTTGATATGAGTTCTTTATAGTCCTTTATTTATTAAGAAACGATTGAAATATATATAGAAATAAAATATTTATAATATCAGTAATTTTCATCTAGCTATCTATCACATATGTATTACGTAAATATTAATAAACATTAAATATTTTTACATTCGTTAAAATAAAATATAATATATTTCCATAAAACTTTACAACACAATTGAAACAATTTTATTAATACATCGTAATATATCAATTGAAAATAATAACAAAAATCGATCTATCAGCCAATCTTTATAATCCTCCCACTTAAACTCCGCATAAAAAATAATTCAGCACATCGATAAACTATCAGAAAATATCGCATTGGGAGAGAATATCGTTTCTCGTGAAACACGAACAAAGGAGAGGAAAGAAAAGGATCGAATACGGATTCTCTCAAGTGGAATAATATTATATTTCATTTCGCTGAAGCGGGGAAAATCGAAAACATTGAAGAAAAATAAGGCTAGTTAAATTTACGCATCCAATAAAAAAAAAGAAAGAAAGAAAAAAAGAGAAAATAAACGCAACCGATATTCTTGGCACGAAAGGGATCATCCGGATCGTGGAATTCAAGATGTTCCCGCGCATTCCTTGAAACGAGAAGATCACTTATTTACGAGGCCACCAACATAAAAGCCTAAAAGAAGGAAAGAATGGAAAAGAAGGCGGGTGTTGTGTTTGATGTTACCTCGAATTGGCTAGTTAAGAAGCGGGATTCGTTGATGGATTTGTTGATGGATTCGTTTTCCGCGTAGAAAGGTTATTTATGAATCGTGAGTTGTGGCATCGATCCGTACCGGGAACGACGTGGGCGTTCGAGGATTCTTCGCCAATGGAACGGATCGCGATGCACGCTACACATCCGGCGAATTAGACGACCGATATATCGGCCAACTATGGAAGAAAATGGTGAAGAACCTATTCGTGGCAAATCGACGATAAACTTTCACAGCTTTAGCCATTAATGATTAAGGGAACGATGCTTTAAGTTATTGCTTTTCTTACTTCTTTGTGGAATTTTGTCTAAAGATAGCAAGCATTTTGTGAATCTTTATGGAGAAATTTTGTTATTTTTTTATCGTTATTTAACGTGAAAATAAGTCATATAATGTTAACAATACGTTCGCGTTTTCTATAGTTGAGTGATATATCTTAATGGGATAAGTTTAAATTAGTTTTTTGTTCAGTTTGGTAATTGATTTGGCTTATTAATTATTCAAGAGATTTAAAGATATTCTTCAATTGGATTGATTGACATCGCTACAATGAAAAATTGAGAGAAATTTTTGGGATTCACGTTTCAGTGATTAAAAATTTTAATATTTTATAAAGTGATTATCGATAAATGTGTTACAATAGTTTAAAATAATTAATGTTACATAGATTAATATAATTATGATAATTGATATAATAGATTCCTATAACTATAATTTATATACAATTGTTAAAATACATTTAATAATTTTATCCAAATATTATCTATTTATCATTTATTATTTACGTGCTATAGATAAAAATTTATCACAAACGGAATTCCAATTATTTATCGCGTAAATACTCCAAACGAAATTATCTTTATCTCTCCTATCCTCGAACAAATTTGACAATGGAATCTTACAAGAAATTTAACGTGGAAACTTGTCCGATCAATGATAATTTCAGTCAGAATTGGCGGACAAACTTTACAACGGTTCATCTCCAGACACACATCCCCAACCCAACGGTTCCTCGATTTTCACGGCTGTGTTTCCCAACTTTGCAAGAGGGTGCATGATCGACCTAAGATGGAAATCTGTGTAACAGCGGGTCCATTACAAGCGTGGTGCAGAGTGTCAGTGATCGATGAGATCCTTGGGAACGATCAGTCCTGGGAGTAGTGGTGCAATCGTTGATTTTCGTCTGACAACGATGGCAAACATGTCAATCAAGGAAGAAGGGAGATAAGGGGTGGCGGTGTTGGCGGATACACCTCGTCACCCTGTACCTCGTTAAAACGTGATAACTCCATCTACATGTAAATCTAATCGGGCAGGGGTGGCGAGGATATCAAACCACCCTCGTTAACCACAGTCAGCATCGTGAACCTGGCAAAACGAGTCAGCCGACGACTGCCTTAAACTCGGCAAGCCACGAGTTGAACCGTCAACGCGTATGTCTGCCACTGAATTCCCGTGTAATGAGACCTAATCCCGAAGGATGTCTTCTCTGTGCATCACCTTGGTCGGATTTCTATTGCCTTGTAAAACCATCCAATCCGCCCACGAGGAAACGAATGAGGTTAATTATCCTCGCTGATCCGCGTACTCCGTATGATTTAATTCCTTTCTGGTTTGTTGGTTAATATACTTGGATCATGACAGTGGATTTTAACAAATTTTTTTAAGAGGTTTCTTCTGTTCGTCTTTGGAAGAGAAGTTGTTCGATTGTTGGTTCTTGATAAAATTTCTGAAGAATTGTTCATACTCGAATGGATAAAAGCAATGTTTAAAGTTGAATATAAAGAATATTTTTTTTATATCAAAAGAAATGTTAGAGATATAAGATAGATTTATTGTTTCGTTTTAATATTTTATAGATACATTTTTGTGTCAAGAAGGAAAATGTAAACTTTAAGTAAAACTTAAGATTGAGACTATTTATTCTAAGAAAGTAATACTTATCATTTATTCGATATTTTTTCTGATAATTTATATTGTTCATATACATTGTATTGTATAAAATAAATATTACAGTTTATAAAATATTAGTTTATTCCATTTTTTAAGTATTTCAAACTATAAAATCTTTACATCTTTCATATTCAACGAATCAAGCGTTATCATAAAATTCTCAAGACTTCTCTATTAATCTTCAGTTAATTGTGATTACATCATCAAGTTTCCCCCGTAAGAATATTGAAGAGAAATAAAAGTTTCAAACTTGATCAACAAGTTTTCAAGCTTAAACAACTTTTACTTCATTTTATCGTAATACAATTAACTAATAACATTTTTCATTTTTTCATTTGCAGTTCCAGTGATTACTATCAGCGGGGTTGTAGGAAACAAAGTGCACCTTCCTTGTGATATTCGTTCTGCCGACAACGACGAAGTGAGCATGGTACTGTGGTACAAGGAGGGTGCTGGAGAACCCATCTACAGGTGAGTTAACAATAACGCAAATCGAAATTGCAATCGATCGAAACAAACTAAATTCTTTATCCCCAGCTCCTTCCACTCATCATCACGATTCGATGTGACCGCGATAAAAAGTCACGAATTCGCCAGAAATTCTCTACCAACGGTTACATGTCGCGTTTGGTTGGGGCGTCATCTAAAATTTTCCCGAAACTCGATAATCCGGGAATATAAATTGCTCGGAAGAAATAAAACGAGGAGCACTGCGGGCGTGGCCGTAGGGGTGGATAAAGGACGGTCCAGAAATTCCTCGCGTTATTTTCCACGGCGAACTTCATTTGCTTGCCGACTCGCTATTTCGCTTCCGCGACCCGTGAAATTTTGCATATAGAATGGTGCTTGGCCCGCAAACCTTCGAACCTCGCCTCCCCCTTCCCTGCCCCGCAAAGAAGCGCGACAGACCCCCCCCTCGACCAAGAGGGTGCGGAAACACCGGGATCGCGTGGAATCTCTTGGCTCGGGTCATATTTAAGAAATGTAATAAGGTGTAAGATATGTGCGGGGGCAGGCGATGCATCGTCTCCTGCCTCTCTCCCTCCCTCCCTCCTTTTCTCTCCTCCGCTTCTGTCCAGAAAAGAGAAAGGGCGGAGGTATATGAATCGCGGACGCGTAGGTCGTCGCCTCTTGTAAAGTCAGTTTAATCCTCCCCCCGTGGGGGAGGGGGGACCTTAAATTTAGAGGCAGACAGACGCACCCCCCTTGTATCTTTCTCGACTTCGAGCTTTCCGCGTACTCTTCCTCCGGCTGAAGCTGTAAAATATTTATGGCTAGGCACGCTTCCTCGCTTATCATACGTGCGCCAGACTGTTAAAGACGGGAAATATCATTCCTTGCCTTTTCCCTTGTTTTCCTCGATTTGTCGCGACATCTTGCTTCATGAACAGGTAATAAAGAAGATACGTTTCGCATTTCTTAAGTGAATTCAGCTCTGACTTTCTTTTAGCTTGGAAATATGTACGAAACTTCACATAGGGAGCATCAATAATTGTCGTTTTATCGATTGTTAACAGCTATGGAAGGAAATGTGAAACATTTTCTTTTTTTTTTTTGTTATATTTTACGAGTAAAATAACTCGTAAGTCAGATATTCGTATCAGAATTATACGATTTTGTAAGTAAATTATGTCGTAAATTGTTAATAAAATGACTTTTATTGCCAGATTTATATCAGTTTCTTACGAGATATAAAAGTCATTCAAAGGATTTTAGCACGAAGAAAATTAGGTTGGATAGATTATGGATCACAGAAAAAGTAAATTATATATTATTTTCTAATATTTGCAAAAATATTCTACTCTAAAAATTTATTACTGAGATGTACTTGATTTAATGAAGTAATGTTCAAATCTTTTATGGCTCGCACAATATTTCATAACCTACTTATCAATGTACGCTAAATTTGTTCGTATATGCACGAGAAATAAATAGGCTCTCAGATTTCCTAAATTAATGCAGCATAATGAAAACGTGCATTCTAAAGGGAAAGCGAACAGCACTCGTGATTATGACTAATAGTAAGTACCGTAGAGTATGCCTTGATAAACAGGGGTAATTTTTTGATTAATCCAACGAGAAATGAAAAACGGAACGCTAGTTCTGCCCTCGAGCCAAATCCCATGTCGGGAGATAAGCGTTGGCTTGTTTTATATATGTAAATCTACTCCTCTGCATATCGTGAAAACTTGGACGAATTATGATATTATATTTGGAATCCCTTTTAGTTAAGTTGATTAAGTTGTTAACGTTTTTTAAATCTTACCCTTTCGTACTCACTCGTATTATCCCCCCTGTCGCGTGTTCTGTGACTCGTAATCACATTACGCCGATTTATTCGGCCATTTGAACTTTTCACCCTCTTCCCCCCATCAGAAAGTCTGGTTCATTCGATTCTCTCGATTATCGATTCATCTACTTACTTCGTTTCCCTCGATGACCCCGATTTTCTACGTTTCCTTACTCTTTTTATTTTCTTCGGACCAGACAACCTTCGACTTTTCATGAAATTTCTAATAATATTTGTGAGATCTCTGAACAACCTCTTCAATTGCCCTGTAGGGACATCGTTTCATAAAATTGAATCTGTCCAATTTCATTCGCTACTCTCCTTGGAAATATTTAAATCGTGTGCATTATGCGAATGGTCGTTCTTTCACGACGGTTAATAGTTTATTATCGAATGTATATATAGGAATGAACAGAGATGAAAGTCTGTTCTTTTATAAAATAGCGAATAAGGATAATTCTATTGAAACGTAGGTTTAATCGAAGAGCATACGTATATAATAATTACATTGTAGAAATATGAAGGTAATTTCATTATACTTTTACATAAAAAGATATAATTTAACTTTAACTTAACTTTTAATAATAATAATTATAATAATTTATTATTTAATTATAATTTATTATAATTATAATAATTTATAATTATTATTAATTATTATTATTATTAAATTATTATAAATTATTTTAATAAATTATTTATTTTAATAAATCATTTTTGTAATATATATAATTTCATGTAATAATACAAATTATTAAAATATTATTATCGCTACATTACAGTGACCAAACATTGTTTTCTTCACAACTATGACTAATACGGTTTATAAACAATGGATTAAATTATTCCAAGAATACCACAATCGTAACATACACACTATCCATTAACAAATCAAAACTTTTCAAAAGAAACGTAAACACAACATACGACGTAGAAGCCACGAGGGACCAGTTCTCGAGTTATCGCGGCACGGTATTCACGGTTGCGCCGTCGATCCTCGCCTCGACTCTCAAATCCGCCTCTCGTGATTTCCAATAAAAACCTGGGCGAGCCGGGAATCGCCTCGATTTCCATCCACCCAGGGCCGCGTTCGATCGTCGATTCTTCTTTCGAAAATCTCCGCGAATCGGCCGAGGTGATCGACGAGGCACGCGAGAGGCGCGTCGACCGATCGATCGAAAGATTCAGCCAGGGAACTCAGACAGCCGGGAATCGCTTTGCCAGGGTTATCGCTCGTCGAAAGCCGAGGAACGAACGCGTTATACCCACGAATCGCTTCCAACCGCCCACGGAAGCCTGGCGATTTTCTGAAAAGAGACGAGGGATCCTGTCGAATATGCAGAGGCGAGCGTGTGTGCGTGGCTGGTTGCATCCATACGGGAAGGGCCCTGAGGGCTAGCCGCCTGAAGGCAAGCAACTACACGGATGTCCGGACGGCAGCGGCACGTCACGGAAGCGCTTTCCTCGTCTGTTGGAAGTGCGAAGTGGAAGAATTAAATCGTATTTCAACGTCAATGCCGCGGAAGCAGCCGGTGGAGTGGGACAGCTTTGGGAATACTCAGTCACGAGCGGAAATCCGAACTCCCGTGCAGCCCTGGAACGCAATTTAACTTTTAGTCGGTCGGCTTCCACGCTCCCTGCGATCTCTCTATCTTCTTTCTTTGCGCCCCTTCTCACCACTTCTGTCGCGATATCAGAGGTAAGAAAAACAGGGATGACGAGGGGAACGGGGATAAAGATCCAACGTATCCGTTGTCACGACTTTCGTCCCTTTCCCTCTTTTCCTCTCCGAATTCCCTTCCTGGATGGGGATGTTTAATATGCAATCACGCAAGGAAGATGGCTCTCCACGATGTATGCGCCTAACCCCTTTATCCCGTCGAATTATAATTCCGTTACGCTTTTCCCCGTCGTTAAGACCTTCACGGCGTGATGAAGGATCTTAAATCGCGAGTCTGCTTGGACTCTCTGATCCCGATGTTGGAATTACGTAGCAGGATCTTCTAAATGTGTTTGAGAAGGTAAAAGATGTGCGAGGAGGATAAAGAATAAATTTGAAATTGTTCGAGGAAGAACAAAATCTGAGGAATTTGATTCTTTGTAATGAATATTTATTTTAAATATTTTGCGTGTTTTTCTATGATACACGTATGTATTCTTCGGATTTTTCTTTAGAATCTCAAAATAATTACCTTGCGTTTCGAGACATACACAGAAATATCGATATTCCATCATTTTTCCAATATTTCTTAATATTTCTTCTAAATGTACAATTTTCATTTCGGTTCATTGAGATGTATTTTATGTTATGGTTAGCTTTTGAAATAAAGAAAAAAAATAAAAAAGAAAATAGCTATGCTTTTCATAGAAAGTTATTATTTTTTATTTAATAGTTAGTTTATTTCAATAGTACATTCCTATCGGGAAACTGGTTTGCTTGTTCAATTTATAATGGTTTTTATGCTCGAAGAAAATAGAAATAACGAAAATAGATATAACTCTATGAAGTCCTGTATATTCAACTATACAGAAAGTTATTACAATACAAGTTAATTTCGTACAGCCATTGTAAAAAACATACATATGGATCGGAACATAAATAATCCTTTAAAGTTAATAAAAAATTTTACGAACATTTATTTAACAAAGGGATAGAAATCCATCTAAATTGAAAGGAATGAGATGCTTTTTGAAATGAATTATTTGTAAAATATATTTGATATAACAATTATTCATATTAATCATTTCCAACATAATATGAAGAGGATACAAAGAATGAAATTGAAAAAAAGAAGCATGGAATGAAATTAAAAAAGAGAGCATTTATAAATACAATCCAATAAAAAACAAAATATTAATTCCTTTAATTATCAATCCGTCTCATTTATAAAAAATATATATATATATATGTATTTATTTTATACTTGAAAAGATTTTCAAGTTTCTTGGTATTCGCGCAATTAAACTTGAAGCATTATTAAATTTCGCGAACGAAAGTTTCCCTCATGCTCAATTAGACTCAGAAGACACGATTATCCACTTCATAATCGTGTTACCAATGATTTCGAAATTCGTAGTTGGATCGAAGACGGAATCGTCGAGGATCTGAGGAGCTTGCACGAGCATGTTCTCAACTTCGCACGTTACACCAACTAAAGTGTACGACGCAAGACGGCTCGAAGACCGTTGTCGACTGTCGGATCTTCGAGATTATAGGTGCTTGTTCCATGAAAATTCTCGTCTCAGTTCCATGGGATTTTAGTATTAACTCGTATCTAACAGAAATGTTCTCTACGAAGAAACGTAGATCCGTTGAAGTTTTTTTTTTTTTACAATCTAAATCTCTTAATAAGTGAAATTGTTAAGGATTTCGAGCAGAAATATGGTGGAAATTAAAGTAGAAGTAAAAGTAGAATAAAAGTGAAATAATATCCAATTATATAAAAAAAACAATTTAAGTAATTAATTTCAGTTAAGTAATTAATTCGTGAAAAATTGATAATTGATTCGTTCAATAAATTATTTTTTTTAAATTATATGATATTTTACATTGGATGGAGATACAAAATTTTCACTACTATACAAAAATACAAGAAAACTCGTTTCATGTATTTTTGCTGTGTTACTTCTTCACTATTTGGACAGAATTGAAATGGAAAAGTAAATTGATAATTTCGTTTCATTCCATGTTTGCAAAGTACACAATCTACGAAAAAAATAACGTAAAATACATTAAATATAGAATGTATTATTAGAATAATTTATTGAAATAAAAATTATCTTTTCTATTGTTATTTTCTATTATTACATCGATCTTAACAGTTTAATCTAACAACTTTTTCATTAAAAAGTTGTATCAAACTCTTCCTACGATTTAAAAAAAGTACTATACTTTTCTACTTTTTTCCACGATACCATCGACTCGATACAAGTTCATACAATAAAAAAACAATAGTTTCGTGGTTACTTGACATCGCTACAAAGAAGTACAACCGATGGTTTCAGCTTCGACGTCCGTGGTCGCCGACAGTTCAACAATGCTCGCCTCTGGTCGTCGCCGACGGCACTGGGACCAAGAGCTTTTTTTATCACAGCGTCGAATCCTGCTCACCTCAGCATCGATCGGCTGGAAACTAAGGACGAAGGGATCTATCGGTGTCGAGTGGACTTTAAGAATTCGCCGACGAGAAAGCAAAAGATGAATTTGACTGTTATAGGTGAGCAATTCATTTCAACTTAACAAAAATTACAATGTGTCTGAATTATGCAATTGATATTCGATCGTATAACAAACAAGAAAGATTAACTATAATCCTATAACTATGTCCAACATTATATTTCATAAGAAATCCATCCAATCTAACATTGCGCAAGACACTATCTAATTCGAAGAAGAGAGAAAGAGAGAGAAAAAGCGATTATTTATTCGTATTATTTATTCGAAATTTATACTCGTATTTCTATCCAACGGTGGAAAGAATTAAATATCCAACCCTTGGATATAAATAAATCGCTCGGTGGCCAAGCTGGTGCGCAATTTACCGTTTCACGCGGAAATTCAACCGGGGGACTGGACGGTTTTTAGCCGTTCGTTTGCCAGGGTTTGCACGTAATCGTCGACAAAAGAGTATTCACCGTATGGTAAATCACTCGCATCAGCGGAACTCAATTGGCCCTAATCAATCTTTCACGAGTAAATCACGCCGGCACGCAGGCAGCGCGATAGATCAGCCATTCTCAAGCGGCGGACAAATAATCAATCCGCATTTCCGCTGATTCAATCACGTGCGCGCGTGCCCTCGTGTGCGTGCACACGAATACACACGGTGCGTTTACACGTGTGTCTTTGGCGCGCAGTTCCTCCGTCGAAGCCGATGATACTGGACGGGACGACGAGGGACATCTCGAGGTTGGAGGAGCCGTACAACGAGGGGAGTGACGTGAACCTGATTTGCGAGGTACGAGGTGGCAGGCCGCCCCCGAAGCTGACGTGGTACCTCGAGAACACCGTGATAGACGAATCCTATCGCTACAATGCCGAGACTGGACTCACGGTTAATCTCTTGTCCTATCCCAAAGTTGGAAGGCAACATCTGAAGGCTCGGTTGATCTGCGAGGCGAGCAACACAAATTTGGTGCCACCGCAGACCAGGCTGGTCATCTTGGATATGAATCGTAAGTATACGAAATTTTAAACTTTTTTTTTTTAAATTTTTCGATTCTTTTATTTTAAACTATGGCGAAAGATTGGCGAAGAACGAAATATCACTTCGAATTTAGACTCTTTAAGATTTAAGATCCTGCCCGGAGTTAATGTAATTGATGAGGGTGCTTGAGGCTTTCAATTGTATTGTTTTGATTAATTAAATAAAAGGAATTTTATTCAGTGATCAGTGATCTGGAACGATCAATGGTCTGGAATGTGAGCACGTTGAGTTTACAAGTATAATATATCAATTCCAAGGTTCAATTCAAATCAATTTCAATTTTTATTTGTTATTTGCATCGGGAAGTTGTAATGAAAATATAAATTTAGGATTTGTATTTTTCTAAAGATATAATATTCTTTAGATGAATGTAAAATGGCATGTAGACGTTGTTGCGATACAAGATATTGTTCCATTCTTACAGATTTAATTGAAATAATCTGCGATTGGTGTGATTTAATTAGATAAGCAATATAAAATGTAAAATTTCTTGGGAAGTTGCCATTGGTTAATGAGAATATTCTTCGAAACGAAACGTTTATTTAGGAACAGGAATAAATTAGAGAGATGAATGGAGAGAAAGGAATTTGAATAAATGATTAATCAAAAAACAGAATTTATTTAGTGAGTTTACTAACTGGTAATACTTTACATTTTGAGAAATAGCTAGATTAATAAATTTAAAAATTTTTCTTTGTAAATCAGTTTCTAAAAATAATTTTAGAATTCGAATAATAATAATAATTGGATATATTCAAACAAATTTAATTAGACAATCTCATCTGTGATTTAATCGTAGATTAATAATTCACGAAAAAGGTAATGGAACTATTGAAATATTTATTTCATTACCTTTAACGTGAAAATGGAATGAAATGCAATTAAAATATAATTTATAAATGGCTATTTTCTGATTCAGTTCTCTTATCGTGTAATTATTTATTGAACTTGCATTACAGAAATATCAAAAAATATTAAAATAAGATATGAAATAAAATAGATTTGATATTCAAAAAAAAAGAAAAAAACGAAGACTTATCCATTCAATATAAGTTACATAAAATAAGATAAAAGGATGCAATTTTTCTTCGTGTATGTTCTCAAATTGCTTGACAAAATTTGTTTCTAAATTATACACGTCATATCATTTGTTATCATAATGAAATTGTGCCAAATTGTGCCACCAAATTACTTCCGTGTGCTATAAATAGATAGAATCGTAATACTGGTTTCAGTCAAGTGAAAAACATTTAAAGAGATGCAAGAAAGAAGTTTTTTGCGATCTTTGATTTGAGGCTTTCGTAACGAAATTATGCAGAAACCAGTTTGTTTGCACGCGTGATTAACGCATATGTCATGCTGAATGCGCGACTTGCACGCTTGTCTCAAGATAGACAATCTGATTTCTTATGGCTTCAAAATGTTCGTACTTGCAACCGATTTGAGAACATTCTATATATTCATTCAATAATTTATATCTCACTGCAAGTTCATATAAATATTAATGACATAAACATTTTTTCCTAATTATAAATAAATAAAATTATAAATAAATAAAATTATCAGTTGTCGACAAACTGGATTAGCTTGAGATCATTAATAATTATTTCACAATGTTTTCATTGATAGAATCTCGCCGACCATATGCATTTACTCGCACATTGAATATATAATTAATATTGATTATTATTCGAAAGATATTAAGCTGTATCTATTCATTAATATGCTCAGCGATTGTGACTCGTTTCACGTACAGTAAACTCAGGAATTCGACAACTATCTTATCCACCCTTATTCACGTATTTAAATAAAAATTAATCAAAATCAATAATATAATTATAAACCTTTCTAACTTTTCTGGCATATAAATCAGCCTCATTTTTGCAATTTTTAACAATCCTTTATCCACCACTTCCGTTCAAAACCCGAATATCTCCCGATCGATTCACCGTGCGTGCGATTAATTTGCCCGATTCGATATCCATACCCACGTTCGTGCCACGAAAGGAACAGAACATCATAGAATGATTCCCGTACGACTATCGGAATTAAAGTCCAATTCGGCCTAATCTGAAAGGGAATCAGAGGAAAATCCAGCGTGCTAGATCCACCGATAAACGCTTCAAAGTAATATTCTCCGCGGCCCGCGCGAAGCCACCTGACCTAGAGGGCGCTTGATCGGCCTCTGCCCCGGTTATCGCCCTATCTACCATCGCGGTTAAACAATTCTCCACGACGATTTCTTGGGAGCCCTCTCTCCCACCCTCCCTCCCGGCTACCGAACGCCTTTTCACGTGGTCCTGCCGGGACAAGGTGTTCACGCGCTGAACCTATTAGTCGTCCCATTCGAGATCGAACGTTGAAGATAACAGTAACGCCTCTCGCAAGACGGATCAGTGGATCGCGTGCCTGCTGCCCTCGCGGCTTCGATTCCGTGTTTCTACACCGAGCTCTTGCCGTGTTCAACCGTTGTCGGTCGATACCGGTGACGAGGCGTCGTGTGTGCCATACACCTTTCTCGTCTCGTGTGTATACAGGGTGTCCAATTTAAATCGACCCCCCTCGAATTGTTGATGAGCTGTAACCTCGTGATGGATTAGTAAATTTGATTAGGAAAAAATGGTGCTATTTACAGCAAAAAATAGGGATATTTTCTAGAAATAGGTGGATAAGCTAGATTAAGAAGATGTATGTAACTTTATACGATATTTAAATAATCAAATGTACATATAATTAAATTAATCACGTTAAATTTTATACCTCCTTGAAACTTTTATTTGAAACAATTGGCAGATATTCGGGTCGATTTAAATGAGACACTCTGTATATGTGTATACACGTGTATGATGTATGTGTGCAATTGTACGCTCTTGCGGTGTACAGGGCGAAGAATGCGACTTGTACGACTGTGGCACGCGTTTAGGTGTTCGCGAGCGAGTTGGCGACGAGATATATTGTGCATACGGGGTTGGAAGGTGGTTTCATTGGGTGAAGGGGTTGGAACACGCCGGCTTAGAGAGTTTTGGTCGGGAATCGTAACTGTTACGAGGGGTAAAACTATTCGAACTTGGCGATAACGTTAATGCAAACACGCGTAAAATCATTAGTGGCTCGGGTTCTCGTGCTCGTGCTTAATTCGTACGTCATTGTCTGATTTTGACGATCGATTCCTTGTGATCCTTTAGATTTACACATGTTCCTCGTTTAAGTGATTTAACGCGTTGTCGAATGATCATAATTTATGTACAACGTATCATGGCACGAAAAGTTGTGCAACAAAAGTAAAGTACGTATTAGGATATATTAAATTTAATGAAATAATTCTTAACAAATATTTGGTTATATTTGGTTATATTTTTAATAATGAAAAAAGTCTTGTCTTTAATGTTTCAAATGAACAAAATTTGTTTTAGTAATTCTCTTTATTTTCTCTTTTTCTAAATCTAATCTTTAAACATACTTACGTATATCTCGGTATTATAATTAAAATTAATTTCTAAACAAAATTTCCTCGTCAATATTAAACTTTACGTATTCATAATTAAAAAGAATCGAGAATAAGAGCGTAAAAAATAAAAGACAAATTGTAAAAGACAAATCGTGGCGATTAAATCTAAAACGTTGCATTAAAAATTAAATGGGCTATATTCCTACGAGAATAGGGGCAAATAATTGTCCCTTTAATGTCTAAATAGAGCAATTTGCGGCGCTAATTAAGATTTAAAGACTGGTATAAACGGGCATCGTATTATTGATATGTATCGCCACACTGATCGCCGATAATTCACATCCGGTTGATCTGAATGCTCACCAAACGCGTGCACGCATGAAACATGCGCCCATACGGCGGCTACTCGTGATCGTGCAGATGTACAATCGTGTTCGGTCGCAATATTTGCTCGCGAGCAACGATGCGTGTTTGAATTATTCCTGGAATGATAATTAATAATAAATCCGAAACGATACGATGGATCTTCTCGTCAAATTATTCTGACTCTACACGAAAAATCATTATATGATGATCCGTGTCACGAAATATCATCGCCACTATTGCGAAATTTATGATAGCAGATGAATTATATTAATTCATTTATGAAATAATAGAGAAATAGTGGAAAGTATTCTCTAATATATATTTTTCTAATGATATTTTCAAGCAACGAGAATGAAATATCAGACACGATTGAAAGATAAAAGTATGTGCACGTTAGTTGATAAACTTAGTTGTCAACTTAAATCAATTTAAAACGTGGATCATTTTTATCGAAATCATCGATCTATGAAGTGAATTTCAAAAAATCCAAATAACCATTCGAAGAAACGAAAGCTTACATTCAATTGCAAAGCTATAGATTGACGAGGTTATATCAAATTGACTTGGAGGAGTACTCAAACAGAAAACGATAATTTTCCAAGATAAACACGGGTGGCGACATTAAGGTAGATCGTGGAACGTTAATCATGCAGGTGTTAATTCATGATTTCGATGGTTGGGCATACATCTATGTAAACGATGGACGTGCATTGGTAAGTCAATAGAACGTGCGTAGGCGAAGCTTATACACTCAAATTAACGATAATAGCACAAGGTAAACTTCGTCGAGTGCTTGAAATGTAAAAATGCAGTATGCGTGTGATAAACGTGAACAGGCTTAACATTTATTTCTCTTCGTTCTAATTTTTTAATTTCTATAATATTCTATACCAAATACGCGTGTTGAATTATAATGAACATTCTTATTTTCTTATGTAAGGAGAAATATATGTAGCTTTTTTCTTTTGTGCTATTTTATTGATAATATCGAATACTTACTTTTCTTTTCTAGTTTTTGCGATAAAAATGGATGATTCGAGTAATTATGATACAACATTTTTGGAAAAGAATTTATATTAATAATTGAGAGATCGAATCAAATACAAAAATTAATAGAGAATATTTGTTGAAGCTTATTTTTCAAATTAATAATAAAGATAGAATATAATGGAGAATTATATCCTTATCTTGCTTCGTCCAATGAAAAATTAAATTGCTTATAATTTGAATAATCTTCAACAAACAATTTTTGCATACCTATTTTATTTTATTTATTTCTTATTTTTCAGACTAACTGTTTAAATTTTTTATCTATTCCATTCGAACACTCTGTATATGTTTTATGCTCTCGTGTTAACTCTTCTGAAGGTAAAAATAAAAGCAATACATATATGCAACTATTACAGATCGAAATTTTCGTTCAACGTTTTAAAGCAATCCAATCACCGAGGAGCAATCTGGAACGGATTTTTTTTTTTTTCACTAATTGATCGCAAAAAGTACAGTCAATTCCCCATTGTTTCTTGAAAGGCAGGAAGCCGCGATCACGATGCAACAACACGCGATGCTTCGTGCAACAAACGATACAGCCTTTGATTTCAGCTTTTCCATTCTTATCGATGCTTCATACGTGTTTCTGACGTGTTTCGCACGAAACGAACTTTCGCGATTCTTGTCCACGATTTTTCAAACATCACGGACTAATTGAAAGTTAAAATTGCTGGGCACTCGGACTTCGGACTTCGTTTAACTCACGGTATTTTCTTCTTATTGTTTCGTTTTTTTTTAATTTAATTCGTTGAAATAAATTGTTATAAATAATATCGTTTTAAATAATAAAAGTTATATATAGTTTATTATATATTTTATTAAATTTATTAGTATACATTCGTTTCAAAAACGAAATAAAAGAGAGAAAAAAAGTAGAAAAGTGATGTAATAATAATCCAACAAGTAGAGTAATTTTAAAATAATGAAACATAATCAATCATACACAGATATTCCATAAAAATAGGAAAAGAATTCAATGCAATATTATTTATATTCGTTGAATTGAAACATTTTCTATTAAAAAAAAAAAAAAAAATTAAAGAATCAATTAATTTAATCATTTTTATCAATATTAAAAATTATCAAGCATATCTTGTCAAATCTATAAAACATTTTTCATCTTACAATCAACAATTATCTCCATGTCATTTCCATTTCAACAAGATCCTTCATTGTTTTCCCTCTTTAAGTTTCAAAGAATATCGTTTTTACGTGGACTGTTCCCAGTTAATGAGGATCTTTAGAAATGTGAACATATGTATAAGGGACGAAAAGGGAACGAGAGGTTGATCGTACGATGAGAAGGATCACCATTGCACATACAGTAGCAGGAGAATCCACGAAACGGAACGGAGGAACCAATTTCAGAGAAGTGGCTACCGACTAATGGCAATTAGGGGTTGTACGAGTGGCTAGTTGCGGCGGTGCATAAACGTACGTTGGAATTTACGAGGCAGACCGCGTGATGGGCAACGTGGTATTATGGATTGCGCTAAACACAACTGCTCTTTTGTTTTTCTGTGTCGACACTTATTAAATTTCGACTAAGGAAGATAGCAAAATATTTCGTAAGTTTCAAGAATAGATGAACGAAGATGGGGATTTTCTTTTATTGATTTCTTTAAACCTTCTGAATGAAATTATACATAAATATTTTCAGAATTGATTTATTGATGTTGTGAAAATTGTACATGTGACATTAAGGAGTAGAAATAGGAATGGATAGAAAATATTTGATATTCAATTTATTTAAACAATTTTAAATATTTCGAATAGGATGAATAATTAAATTGGCAAGATATCGCATTTTCTCATTTAGTACTTAATAATGTATTAGATAACTTTCAAAGTTTTAATAAATTATTGAAATGTATATTCATTGAAAGCAGTATGATAAGGTTTTATATATAATAATAACAGTTTATTATAATTGATTTTAATGTACGATTCTATTTTTCTTTTAATATAATATAATATTAAAATAAAAAATTAGAAATTTTTTCATAAATTTCTTTAGTAATATTATATTATGTTACATACATTATATTTCTCTTTTATTAACTATATTTGTTAATTTTATTTGATAAAATGTCAAAATGATGAAACGATTAATGCAAAACCAATATCGCTACAACTCGTTGCCGTCACATATACCTTATTCTGCGTGATTAAGGCGATCCAATATTGCATGCAATAATTGCAATCAATAGACGTTCCAAGATTTATCGCTGATGGAAATGGACAGGCGGTACATATATGCCTTTACTGTGACAGATGTATACGTTCCAACCTATGAATTTCCGTAGGCAACGCACAAGCGTTAATAGGAAATTCAATATTCTCTATCATTCATTCTGCAAAATTACATGATATAAATAATAGTCAATAATTATAGTGAATTTTGCATATGATATATACAAATTTATATATCAGTTAGAGTGAATGGTATATTTTTAACAAAAAATAAAATTTAAAAATTACAATAAAGATTTACGAATTTTTATAACTTCTAAAACAGTTTTTAAACAATTGAATTAAAAATATTATAATTGATATTTGTGAGATATAATATTAATAGATATTCTGAAAAATTTTAATCATAATTTACTTGAAGAAAACAATCATCTATAACATTTACAATTAATAATAATTTATAAAATTATATTCTACTTCTATAAATTGTGCTGTTTATAAAATGATTATACAGAGAGCATTATGTACAATCTTTCCACCAAAAGTTCTTAACTTTCATTCATTAAGGTACCATTTTTTCGAATCATTTGTCTGGGCCACAAAACACTAGCTGTTGGCGTAACTAAAAAATTAAATAATTAAGATTTATCGTTGTATTGCGTCGACAGGATTTCAAGAGGTTCTTTCATCGTGTAATATTTCTTCGAGCCTCTCTCGTTCATTCACGTGGTCGTAAACGTCTTGAAAGACTCTCTTTAACCCTGAGCAATGTGATACCCTTGCATTACAAGATACGTACAGCTTCTTTGTTTTTGCAATTTCGACGTGTTATCTTGTCTCGTGCTCATTATTAAATTATCTGAAACTTGATGATAATTCGTTAAATATAAATTAGAGAACATAGAAAAAATTTTAAATATTTCATTAATATATGTTTCAGTGATAACGATAAAACTTTTTCTGAAGTCTGAAATAGATAGATCTACAATTATAAGTTTATTTGATAGCATGACATATCATCAATGATTTTCTAATATTTTTTTCATGTTAATAGAATAAATCAATCACAACCAATTACGACCAACCAATCACCATCAATTACGACCATCGAATTACATAACTTAATGATGCAATGACTTATAGACACAATAGATATCAATCTTCATAGTGTAAAAATACACTGATAAAGACGTGAAATTGTCACACGAAATTTAAGAACAGATCTGTTCCCATTCATTAAACGCGTTCCACCGATGTCTTCAAAAATTAGACATTCTCGCCTCATCATCTCCTTGAATTCGTTCGTATTATCTCAACACATGGAGGGCGACGAAAATGAGACGTCGGAATAATTTGCAGTTTTCACGAACGACAGAGCGAAGAGGATAAGTTCGAAAAGTGGCGGCTCTTGCATAAGTTGGTTAAAGTTAAGCTATTCAGAAGGAAAATTTGTTTTTACAACTAGGTGAGAGTTGGTTGTATAATAAGGTTTAAGTTAACTTAAGAGTCAAGTTAGAAAATTGTGCGTGAAATTTTTATTTGTATTCTTCCTATTAGAATGAATTTTTAACAGTCACGTTTTCTTATGATGTATAACAAATCATATTGGGAAATGAAATTTTCGTAATCCAAAAAATGAAATTATTTTATCACTTAAAGAAACACATGATTCAAATTTTAATAAAAAAGAAATTGAGAATCTTTCTTTTTTAGATCAAATGATGATTGGTTGATAAATTAAGAAAAATCTATGCAATACAACTTTATTAACTTTGCCTAGAAATAGAAATTACTCGATATCAGTTTCGATCTCCCCCACAATCTAGCAAAAGTTTTGAGACTTTGAAGCTGAATTTTGAAGGAAACAAAGTTTTCTTGTTAGCCTGGAAGTAACTCAACGATGCATCGAAATTCATATTCGATATTTTTTATCGATCGACAACTACTTTCCACTGAGAAAGAAATCCCAAGAATGGATTGGGGGAAAACGGAAAAGGATGAAAAAATTTGTCAAATACCAAAATTTGTTCTTCGATCGTCATTAATTGATCTCGTACAAAATCTAACACTTTTGTTCTTTTCTATTTCAGTAAAGCCATTGGTCGTGCAAATTTTGACGAAGGAGCCTCGAGTTTCCGCTGACAAAAACTACGAAGTGGAGTGCAGGACAAGTGGTTCTAGACCGGAACCAGTAATTACTTGGTGGAAAGGGGACAAGCAGATTAAGAAAATAGCGCAAAACGTAAGCTTTGTCGAGAATAAATTTCCAACAATTTCCGCAAATGCCGATTAAAAGCGTACATTTATTTTATAGAGGATTTATTATGGAAATATTGTTCGCATTGCAACGACGAAAATTGGTTCGTTCTTTATTCACGTCGTAATTCTATCGAACGAGTGGATTACAATGCCCGTAGAGAAAGAGAGAAAAAGAGAGAGAAAGAAAGGGAATGCATTGATATTAAAAACAATGTGTAACATAATTCGCGATAATTAAAAACGTTCCACTGTCAGTAATTGGAATTTTGCAAAATCCAATAGCGCGCGTCGTTCTGTCTTTAATACAATTTCTTGCGACCAATATTCTGATTGGAGCCTTGTTATTTCCCTGGTTCAAAATTGTTTATCTCGCTTTATAAAATCGGCCCACTTTTTTTTCAAGAAATAGCATAAAAAAATGTATATCATTTTGATAGCTATTTCTTATACTTGAATATATATTTTTAAATTATTTTTATTTCAATAATTTATATCATCACAATAATTACAATCGAGGGCAAAAGACACATATCAATCTCAATTTCTTATTTTTCCACAATTTTCTAATACAATACCGAATAGAATCGTTAATCAGTTAAAAGAAATGCGATTTTATATATCGCATCTCGTATGAACATAAAGTTTCCTTCGATTTACTTTTCTCTTTCGAGCTATATTTATTTTCTCTCAACTCTTTCGTCTCTTATCAATATTTTGCACGAAAAATATATTACCCGGTATTCGCAGAAATTTCTCCACCGCAACAAAACGTTTCCATTTCGACACATTTATTGATCTCGTTTCGGGAACGAGCCTCGACAGCATTCACGTTGCGAGTTGGAAGAGAAAAATACGGAACGAAAATAAAATCGCGAGTTTTACGGAATCAGCAAATAGCGAAAATCGCTAATCGAATCGACCACGTTAGCGGTTTCGAGTTTTCAAGTTCCACGCGTTATGTGCACCTTCAGCTTCGTGACGCGATTCTAAGGAGAATTCGCGAAATTGACGAGTTATTCCAGTTCGCAACGATTCATCAGGAAGTTGGTGCAATGAAGTTATTTCATTTTTTTCTTTTTTCTTTTTTTTCAACAACGGTCTGTTTCTTTTTTTTTTTTTTTTTCTTTTGCGTTACGATCTCGACACTTTCACCGGAAGTGGCGAAGTAGAAGTTCGAATCTATCGGAATATTTCTTTTTCCTTAACTCGTTCCCTTCCTCGAAATAAATTACGAAAGACCTTTCCTTCGTTTTTTTTTTTATTTGCAACGAGACTTTCCCTCCATCGTAATCGCACGAAAACAGAAAACCGAATCTTTCGTATTTCGCGAAGCAGAAATTTTTCCCTTTTTATACAAGTTTCCGGTCAGTGTTTGAATTTTGCTTCGTTCTTGCGGTATATAAATATATATAAGAGGAAGTTTCGCGTGAAAAATTGTGCGAAATGAATCGAGAAATTCGAAGAGTGTTATCTGTGATATAATAAATGAACTTTTGCGTGAATTTTGAAAATTAATAGTTGAGTTTTATTTAATGTAGAAATGTTGCCGAGAAAATTATTCTGGAATGACAAATGCTTTTATTATTATCAATATTGAAATTGATCAATAATTAAATTTATTAATATAATTGTACAACTATCTTAATAAGCTACGTCCCGTATAAATACCTTTATTCTCGTTCAATTTCCATAATTATTTTAAAATAGAACTTATCTCTGATCCTTTTAAAATGTTACGGCTTATCTAACGTTCTACTGCATTAATTTGTGCCAGTCATTGCTTATTTAATTTACGATCACATTATTTCATGTCCATCGGCTATGCACATTTGCATTCATGTTTAATCACGTATTTTATCTTTATTATTTTGCATGAAAAGTCTATCGTATTTAAAGATACAAAAAAAAAAATTGATAGTTTGAAAATTGTGATACAACCAATTATGCCAAAAAAAAAAATATTTCTAAACATCAGGAAATACCTCGTATTCGTTATCAAATTCAATCCTTCCCTCTCAATATCACCTTAACTAACCATAATGAACGAGGAAGGATCATCATCATCGTCAAATGACACTTTTTTTCATCGACGAATCCGTCAAAAGTTCTTTCCAATCATTCAAATCTCTGATTTACGTGAAGACGTATCCGCAGAATAGCGTAACATTTCCCGCATGCTTTGGTCATCTCGCTAAAGAATAGATAGATAAATTATGTGAATCCATAACTCGATCGAGGCGTCATCTGGCGCAGAACGGGAAACGTTATAAAGCGTGGCGAAACCCATGAAAGATTTGATTTATTTCCGCGTCGTCCGCGGAAGAGATGTCCGCAATTTCTGAGCGGATAAAGTTTCAGCTTTGGCGCGCATCCTGTCCAACACGCACGATCTCCGCTGCGAAGATATATCGGCGCGGATGTTCGACCATCTCGCGGACCTTTATCGAGAAATTCGATCGTGCCGCGACTATGCGAATCGAACGAGCTGATGGAGATTCACGGTTGAAGGAATGAGAGAGAGAAAGAGAGAGAGAGAGAGAGAGAGAGGAACTGTCAACGCCGTGACAGAATGGGAGGAGAGAAATAGGACGAAATAGACGAAGAATGACGTTGGTCAGTAGCGATGGGAACAAAATTCGGCATAAACTTATATGGATAAAGATTAAATCTAACATGGAGGATTCATTTCGTAGAATTCGTTGTCATGTGAACTTTTTCTTTCACGATTGTTTAAAAATGATATTTTATAAAGCCTGAAGATGCATATCTCTAAACAAATTAAAAAAAAAAAAGAAATAATGAAACGTATATATCTAATTATTTATTATTATTGAATATGATTTATCGATTATATTTGAAAGTATTTTCCTCGTTTTTTTGGAAGAATATTGATAAATAAATAAATAAATATTAGTGAAATAATTTTAAGAGTTAGAAGAAATTGAAATGAAAAATATATTAGATCGATTCTAAAAATAAACGATGATAAGCGACGTGCAACTTTAATTTCACCGAGTTACCATGTTTGCGATACACTTGATCCCATCACTACCGGTCAGGCGGGGTTGAAAAAAGAAGGAACGAAACAGAGAAAGAGAGAAAGAGAGAGAGACGAAGCGACATTCATCCTGACGAACCGTTAGCTCCATTCATCGTGCTCGTGATACTCGGTGCGAAATACGCGGCTTTTCTCGATATGTATGCTTGTATGATGCTATCATTAAAATGACATCGCGGAAACGGAAGGTTACGCGGCGTGCAATAAAAGAAAATAGAAAAACTGAAAACCAGAGAGACAGTCATCGACCCTGCCACCCCTACACAGGGGAGGGGGTTACATTTTCCTCACGCGACTGCATCGTAAATTCTGAAAAATCGTTAATCTCTTTTTCAACTTGCCGCCGCCGCTTCGCCCCTTTATTTTCTCATTTCCCTTGCGCTGTGCCGAATGGATTTTCGTATTAAACCGGTGACAAATCGCTTGGATGCTTTCGTTTACGGGGCACGGCGGACCACGGCTTGCGAAATCTGTTTACCTGTTTCGTCGACGTCAAATCAGTGGCGTTAATCTTTGCAGGATTTTGGGGGATCGAGGTAAGTGGTGGATGATGGGGTTAATGGAGGAACGTGCGGGGTGGAAAGTGTTTGCGAAAGAGGATGTATATACCGAGTATTACGACGAGAGAAAGAGTTAGATGAATTAAATTAAATCAAGATGATTTTATCCTGTTAATGTTCATAATTGTTAATTGTTTGAAATTTTTGATAATGTAATTTAATATAGATTATTTCCTTAATTTTATCTGATTATGTAGAATTTAATCACGTTTTAAAAGAAACTATTTATTATTCTTCTTTAATTCTATTTTATTAATATCATTGAGGTATATTAATATTTGAACATTAACAGGATAAATCATCTTGATTTAATTTAATTCAGAGCATCTAACTATATCCCAATCTGTTACTTTGTGATAGAAATATTTAAATTAGTTATGAATACGAGGCATTTTGTAACAGGAAAGTAAAAATTTTAAAAATCCAATGGATACTTATTTTACTTTTATTATAAAAAATAAAAATTGGAATTTATGATATTTATGAATCATCTTAACAAATATTAATAGATATCAATTTGACTCGCAACAATAAAAGAAATATAAGTATCAATAGCGAAAATTCAATCAAATTCATTTCATATTTAAAAATATTAACTCAATTTTATATTATCTCGTGCTATTTATCTTCTGTAAGAATTATTCATCTTGTTCAACCATTCTTCTAATATAAGTTGAACTGAAAGAGGTATGTTTTTATTGGCAGTACGCGCTGGAAAATAATCAGACTCTTAGTATCCTGAGTTTCGTGCCAAGCATCGACGACGACGGCAAATACTTAACCTGTCGGGCGGAGAATCCTGTTATTCCTGAAAGCGCTTTGGAGGATAGGTGGAGGCTGGACGTGCAGTATCAGCCTGTGGTAACTCTGAAGATGGGCAAGACCTTGAATCCAGATGATATCAAAGAGGGTGACGACGTCTACTTCGAGTGCTCGGTCAGGGCTAATCCGAAAGTGTACAAGCTTGCCTGGTTTAAGGATGTAAGTCTTGACATTCTATAGGTTTAAAAGATTTTACAAAGATAAGATCTTGGCTCGATCTTAAAAGTATTGAAAATATAATGCTTATGCTTTTTAATCAGTATAATTTTTTTTTATTTTAAATTCAGCAACGTACAATTAGAAAGTTACTGAATATCTTTTATAAAAATTTTATTTTATTTATTCCTTGTTCTATGTATTATTTATAGAAATTAACTTAATAAAATAATTTTAAAAATTGTTCACAATTTTTGGATAGGAAATGAAAGACATGTTTAATCTACAATAAATTAAAAAAATTAATGTAAAATTAAATGTCTTGTATCCATTATTACTCTTATAAAGGAGTATTTCTGAAATTAAATAGCATTACTTGTTTCAGGGCAGAGAGCTTAAAAACAATGCCACAGCAGGTATCGTCCTCAGCGATCATTCTCTGGTTCTTCAGCGTATAACTCGATACTCGGCAGGTGATTACACTTGTCTCGTTGCCAACAGCGAAGGGAAGACTGCCAGTAATCCGGTGACTCTTCAAATAATGTGTAAGTTCACGTATTTTACTCTGATTTCTCCAATTTCTTCCATCCATTCTTAAATAAATATATTAATTCGATTACAGATTGAAATTTTAAAATGTTAAAATCGAATGAAATATAAAGGAAATATAACTATATTCAATAAATATTATATTATTTCATTTGAAATCAACGAAAGATCTTTTTCTATCACTTCTCATAAAATAATTATTTTCGTGAATAAATTCATTATTAATCGCACAAAGAATGTAAACGAAACGAAACGAATCGAGTCGAAATATGATAAATCAATATGGCAAACGCTTCATCAGTTCACTTTCTCTTACTTTAAACGAATCATCAATTACCAAACAACTCACTCGCATTCCCTAACATAATCGATTCACGCGATTATCCCGTCGATTCACGATCCGTATCCAACACAATCGGACAATGAAACTTCACTGAAACAACGAGTCGAGTAAAATTCCAGCCAAACAACGGCCCAACACCGTTCTCCTTCCGCGTTAACACAAAAGCGGGCCGACTCGATCTCGAGCCCTCGTTAATCACGAGAACAACGGAAGAGGTCGCGAATAGAATTACGGCCACTGGCTTGATATTCTCCCCTCGAAATTCTCTAATTTGCCCCTGCTCGATAATTACTTAATCGATGGCAAGTAGAGTACTGCGTATAACCGGGATCGAGTAGAGGGGGGGAGGTGAGGATCGGTGTGAAAGGAAGCGTGAGTGGGTGGCGACGAGGAAGAAGAGACGGAGGACAGGTTGAGGATAGTTTTCTGTAAAACGCACGACACCAGTTATTCTATTAGAATGGTCGGTGATGGTGGCGGCCCGGCGTATCTGCATCTTGTAAATGACCTAAGAGGGAAGGAAGGACTGCGATGCATATTCAATGTATGTAAAGCGTAACTGAATATTCATGTGTGGGTGAACGCAGCCTGGCAATGTGCTAAGCCAGGCCGGTGGGGGGAGTTAAAGGGAACCGCGGATTCATCCTAATGTTTTAAGCCATCGCGCCGTGTCGTCGTTTCGACTGTTGACATTGATCCTTGGAGTCGAGTCCCTCAAGAATTTCGCGAATTCGATTAAGATCTTAAAATGTTGGCAATTTTTTATGCTTTTAGATAGACAGGAAATAAATATTCGTAATTCCAAATTATTAATTTAAATCTGCAGTAACGAAGTTTAATCGTGAATTAAATATATATTATAAGAAAATGTATGAGGTTAAATTTACATGTTCTTTTGTATGTTAAATTAGAAAAAGCCAACAAAGGTATTCTAATAATTTCTTATTCTTTGAAAAATTATAAGAATAATTAGATATCATTGTACATCAAGTTTCTCTCAACGCAATTAATTCGCCCAATAATTCGACGGATAAATTCGATAACGTGCGATTTTCTTGAATCGTAATCCTTACGACGTATAAGACAATATTATACGCATTTTGATTAAGATGAAAGAATTAATAATGCTTACTAATTAGTAACCGTGTGTTCCACTCGATAAATGCAGCCCGGTGATACGTCGCGTTTCCAGTTATCGTCGACTTCTCGTATTAGTAATTAATTCGGCAGTGCATCAAACGCATCAGATTGAAACCAAGCCGTCTGGTGATCCCGCGCTTCCGCCGTAAATCATCCCTCGTGCCATTTGGAATTTCCGTATGCCATGGCCTATTGCAAATACCGATGTCAAGGGAATTTCCTATTAGGCGATCGATCGAAACCGCTCGGTCGGTTCAATGGTGTCGAGCTTCTTCTTCCGTTTCACGCGCCTCACATTTGGATATTAAACGCCCCCTCGAGCGAGACGTCTTCTCTATTTGCCACCCATATCGATCATAATTTCTTACGCTCGGATGGAGCACGTTATGGGTGAAGGTTGGGTTAGGTTCTAATTTGTTAAAGGATTGCGGGTAATTCCGTGATGTTTTGAAAGGAGGTGGATACGGAGTTTAGTTTGTGCAGTTGGGGGAACGTGAGATGATGAATGGGGCTAAGCTGGTGCTAATTTTTAAAATTAATATATGAATTATCGGTTTGCCGACCAACTATAAAGAATGCTTTTCTTAGGTAGTGATTATACACGTTGGCTTGAACGTTTGTGTATGTAAATTTTCGCGGGAATTAACATTTTATAATGGAAGTTAGGAGAAATATGTTTATCGTATAAAAATTTTAAAAATAGTTAAAAATTATATATAAATCTTCAATAATATAAATATAAATATAATATAAATCTTCAATATCAACAGCTAGAAAGAGAAATATTTTTTAAAACGTCAGATATTATTTATAAGTTTCATTTTTTAAAGATAATGTGTATATCTGCTGCGTATCGATGGATTTCAATTAATTAAAGAGCAAACATTTAAGGATTATAATTCAGCGTTCGTATATCGAATCCTTGCTACCCAATTAAACGGATCTAAGAGGTAATGATAACTAATTCGCTCGAAAACAATTAATTTTCTGCACGAATACGTGCTCGAGCGATAAGTGATTACCTCAGCAACTGTCGAGTTGCATTCGAATTGGTTAAATTGCAATGGGACGATATCTGCATAGACATTGAAAGGTAGCTTATACCGGTGCGCTGTCCAACTTATCCCTGTATTAGGTCAATTGGATCCGGATGACTGTTTCAGTTTGTTATATTGTACGGCTTCGGATTTGTAATGCACGTTCAATCACATTAAAATATAATTTCATGTCGTTTCACGGTGTTATTGTGTTTTGACCGTTGATACATTATTTCTATTATTCGTTCTTCGTACAAAACGTGGAAATAATAATAGTATACGTTTAACAGTTCTCAAAATATTATTCTATCTCCCCATTTCAATTTTATCTAACGCAAACTTAAACTGCTTTTAACTTAATAATATTTTGGTCCCTAGAATCAATCTTCCAAATATATCATATATAAATTTTGTCATATGAGAATGAGATCTTCTCGAATGGTTTCCAGAATTAGATTAATTGTAACATGGCAAAACCAATGTATCGTAAATCTAGCCTTCCTTTAAAGTACTTTTCCCTTCACTCCATTAACTCTTAGCCAATTTTAAGAAGGATCCTTTCAATTAATAACCATAATAACAAGCTTGAACATTGCCAATTTACATCGACTCATCCTACGTAATAATTATTATTACACAATATTATTATATCGTGTTAATAAAAAATTGAAGAAAACAACAAGATCGCAATTACACAATTGAACAATTTCGTTCACAGATACCCCGGTGTGCAAGGAGGGAAGGGGCGAGGTAGTTGTGGGTGCGCTGAAGCAAGAGACCGTATCGTTGGTTTGTTCCGTGGAAAGTCATCCAGCACCGTTGACTTTCCACTGGACATTCAATAATTCTGGGGAGCTAGTTGAGGTCCCTCATCCCCGTTACTCCCATGTGGCGGCGGTCGGGACGCCGTCTGTCGCAGAGAGCCTGAAAGAGTACCAACAATTCCACGGGCCCAGGTTGAACTATACACCCGCAACGGAAATGGACTACGGCACGGTGGCATGCTGGGCGAGCAACCAGGTTGGCAAGCAACGGACGCCATGCCTCTTTCAGGTGAATGCAATTTCTCTTATTTCCCCATCTGTTTGCCCTCCAATTTTCGAAATTGTTGACCACGCGTTATGTTCATCATGCTTGTTATTATTTGAATTTATATTGGATTTAAGTTTGAAACGGTGTTTGTATGGTTTCGAAAGTAAGAATGAGGAAGATATAGGATGCTTTTAGAATTTTAACTATTGATCTGTCTGTTTCAATCATTTGTTGCTTTTTTTTTTAATTTATTTCTTAATCTCATTCGAGGAAAAGTAATAGTCTGATCAATAGTCTGTGTAAATGAAAATCCTGATCAAATATTTGAAGTAATGATAAATTTTATGGAGAGAACTGATTCGTTTTATACTTGTGGCATTTTATGGAAACGAGAAAGAAGTAATATATATATCAAAATCTAATATAAAAAATTAGCAAATCGTTCATTAAAATTAAAAGACATTAATAAAAGAAACTCATGATATTTTTATTTTACAAATAATATATTTTTCATTTTTGTTTTTGTTTTTTTTTTCTTTCGTCACCTTTCATCTGAATATTGTAAAAAATTCTTTGACTTTTCCGAACGAACTTGCACGTTTCGAGCATGAACACGTTTCGACCATTTTCAAAGTGATGTTAGTTGCAATCGTGTGTGCACGAGTTACATTTTCCAAAAGATCGGGAAAGGAAAATGAAACTTGATACATGGCTCTAGCCTCGCCAACAGAGGAATGCAATTTGTATTTAAGGATGAGTAAATATATACATGTCTAGTTTTCTTGTAAAATGATAGAAGATAAAAAAAAGTAGAAATTACCATTTTCCTGCTAAATTTTTCATATCGATATTCATATTAATTCATTCATGTAAGCAAATGTTTGTAGTAATGAGCGACTCTATGATAATACATATCGGTTTCAATCAACCCCTTTAATCAAGCTCTATCAATTAATCAAGTCAACGCAATATCGCATGATTGTTACATTGATCTGTTCAATCTAAAGTCTAGTTATATCGATCAGAAGATACACTTACGTCTGAACTATCGCATAAATGAAAAGAACTATTTTAAATTCGTATCCTATTGAAATTCCCTCCATAAATTCCACATATTTACAGATATTAAAACGATTATTCAAAGCATCACTTCCAAAAAAAGATGTACGAATATTTATATTTAGAAAGAATATTTATATATTTAGAAAGAAATGTTTTAAATAGAATTAAAACAACATTACGCATTCGTTTCAACGTTTCCATGGGAATAAAATATTCTAAAATACATTCGTACCATTTAGTCTGAACATCTTTCAGACATATTTCATCCCATCCGGGAAAGATTAGACGAAGCTCCATGAATCGTAACGCAAAACATTGTCGAACTCGATCAGATTCAAACGTTCAACATACATTATTCAGCAACGAGCGACCATATTTTCCAGGTGATAGCCGCAGGACGTCCGTACGCTCTGCATAACTGCACAACGACGGAAATGTCCGCGCCTTTGGACTCGGAGGAGTTGAGCGCGAGATCCGGTACGGGACTGATAGTTCGCTGTTTGGAGGGTTACGATGGCGGTCTTCCGATCTACAGCTACCAGTTGGAGGTGGTCGCGGACGAGGATGGCGGGCCAATTTTGTTGAACAAAACTGTGCCGGCAAACCCGAACGGACCGACTTTCGAGGTGGCAGGCCTAACCACGGGAAGGAGTTATCGACTTTTTCTATACGCGATTAATGCAAAGGGGAGGAGCGAGCCTGCCATTCTCGAGCCAGTGACCCTGAAGGGTGTCGCCATGTACACGACCGGTGAGTGCATTGACTTTCTAATACGTGGCGGATTTACCGGAACCATTTGACATATGTCAAATTGCTATTGTAATTAGAAACGATTCTTCGCGTCAAACAGCTATTTCCTTCGAGTATTTCACGCTCTGTGCTCTGTGCATGTTACATTTACATGCATCATCGAGATTTGTGGGACAACTTGTCGAATTTATAAATATAATAAATTCGAAGATTATTCGGAGATAAATTTTTATCACGGTAAATTTTTCATGCTTGTTCGCGTAAATTGATATCGTTTATCCCCAAAAAATTAATACGTAGATTGGAAAAGATTATTGCAATATCATATATTCATAATATACATAAGCATATAAACATAAAAATGTGAAATTATAGCACGGCATTAGATCATTGAGATCACGTTTTCGATTTTTAATGTAAAAATTGTGACGAAGAATGAAGAATTTTATCATCAAAATTAATGCAGGAAGTAGAGAAAACTGTACCATTGAAGCTGCTTTTTGTTTTATCCCGATATCTCAATCGGTTGCCGAGATATAAGACTTCAAAGATTATGAATAAGATCGTGGCCCAGTGACCTACATTTTTTCCCTGGAAGTGCGTACTAAGCATTTTTCCAGGAATCGCGTCTGTCGCTTGTCTGGAATTTGGGACAGGGCAGTGACACGAGGTGCGAGCGAGAGGTCCGAGTAAGAGATAAGGACGGAAATACTAAATAGTTAAAAATTACCTTTTTCTTTACACGACGATATCTCGGGAACCGGAAGTCGTATCAAGATAAATCAAAAAGCGTTTTAAAGGGGAAGGTTCCGCGTTTCCAATGATCTTTGATTCGTTGATTAAAAGTCATTATCTTCGGAGTTATAGCGATTTAAAGTTTTCCTAATTTTAATAGAGTTTGATCGAATTTTAAGATAAATTACACATAGATATGTTTATTCTTAGAAAATTATTGATTATAACTTTCTTGCTAATAGTGTATTGAAGATTGTACATTGATTATTTCACGTTGTTTAGTCTTAAGTTTTTATTTAATCAATCTGAGAAAATTTTTATATACATACATCGTGTTTTCGAAATCGATAAACAATGTATTGGAAAAATTTGTCACGAAACGACAGTATCTTATTGAATAACTTTGTACAATACTATAATCTTCATACCAAATAGTAATCTATAAAGATATTCAATTAGAATGGCAATAAATATTGAGTGCTGGTAATAAATATCCATGCTCTCCTGTGTGGACTGCATACGAAATAACTAACTGGTTCTCGATTTAAATCTTGCACTTATCGATCAATCGTACAGTGACTTTAGTTGTACTCGCGTTTCGAGTATTAATCACAACAACTGGCAATCACGCAATCATTCGAAGCAGAAACAATTAAACGAGATTTGTTTCTCAAGTATAACTGATCAAGAATGCAATTACTGCTTGTTCGATCGTTATTTCGATAGTGATGATATACAGAGTAACTCAATGACGTTTATGGGAGTAATTATAGGTGTGTAAAAGATCACAGTAAATTCTTCTGGTCAATTATTTTTTTCTGTGGTAGAGATAATTTCAATCAATGATATCTTACATATAAATAACGTAAAAAATTAATAATAATCGCCAAATTCGAATATTCTGTTGAATTATTCATGCAAGAATTTTGCATGCAAAATTATCAGATCGGATCAACTTCTCACTTGTTCCAATTATCCAGACAAAGTATCCACGATTCTGAGATAAAGAAAGATAGAGAAAGAGGATGTATTTACATTATCGAGTTCGAGCAAAGCGTTGAGAAGTTTTCTCGTTACCGACGATGATTATTTTTACATTATCTGTAAGAAAAGGGCGGAAGCAAAAGAAACTGGAACGTTTCTCTCGTGGAACTCCTTGGGCGTTGACAAAACGACAAGTTAAAAGAAAACGGGACGTCCGGTAAATCTTAAGTCTCGATCACGAGGCTATTCTCGAATCGTAGCACGATATTATTAACGGCGAGGAAAATGATCGAAGTGAGCTTTAGATTGGAAAGTATTAATTGGAAAACGTATTCGACTCTTCTTCGTATCGAATATCGAATTTAAATGTAAACTCTCGAGATCCAAATTTACTATGAAAACGATATCGAATGATATAATTATTCTTTGTTCTTATGGAAAATGTATATTTGTATATTATAGTACTCTTTAATGATAATATTATATTCTATTTTGAAGATAAATCATATCAAATATTTGGTAAGAATGTAAAAAGTATTTTAATGTTAGATTATTTTAAAATATTTAAAGTATACGAAAGAAATTTCGAAATTTCTTAAATTTATGCAAAGTTTTCTTTTCTATATACAATTTTAAAATCTAAAATTAATTGTTTAAGAATTTTTTATTAATTAAAGCAACATTATAACTTAAATCTATTATACGTTTCTGTTTGACTAATTTTTGATTAAATACGAATAATTAACAAAAAGTATTCTAAATGTAGAACTAAACTTTTCTATTCGAAAATTCGTTTCTGAGAAAATTCAATTTGAAAATTCATTGAATACGTGTACCTAATTAATTCTTCATTGAATACTTTAAATTAGATTTTCTCAAAAACTGAAATTAAAAGAAGAAATTACATTATACGTTTATAATTGAAAACTAATATAATTGAGAAATAATATAATATAATTTAAATAATTATTTATCATAGAAATAGAAATTTTAGATCAAAAGTTTAAAATTTAAAAAGAAATATTTCAACACATTCTAATTTTTTTAAAGTGATTATCTCTACGTTGAATATTTTATGACAAAGTTAGTCAAAAATTTATCAAAATTTTATCATATAAAGAATAGTTATAAATATATAAAACAGTCAATGGTAAAAACCTATCACGATTATTATTCAACATAAATAAACTGAATATGAATCCGTGAAATATGATCAACATTATTAATCAATCAGATCTCAGATTTCTGAAATTTTGATAATTGTCGTTTCTGATTCGCTCTGAAATACTATCAACTATTTATGGATTTCGGTATAATTTATGAGTATCGATTTTGATAGGATTTGAAAAACGACTGGCGTGATATTAAAACTTTTTCATTTTAATTATAGCTAAATTGAATATACCGTTTGTTTTTTAAACCCGTAATATTAATGTATCTAAAACTAAACTAGATATTTATTATAACCTTATTTACAAAGTATCAGAATCAATATAATATTCGTTATTTTAGATTTTCTTTTAGATAGTTCAAATTTTCTCCCCTTATAAGTTCTTTATAAGGCACAACTTTGACAAACTCTTTCTAACATTTCATTATTAACTCCGAAGTACTTGAAGTTTCTTAAATGAAGAATGAACGCGTCTTTTAACGTGCTTTACGCTTGAAGATGGACTTTTTGCCTTGTAAGCAGCTAATTAATTTTATATTTATTAAACGAGAGAGCATTTGACATCGCTCGATAATTAAATAATTTTATATTCTTTATAAATTATACAAATTAAATAAGTCAATTCTACTAGCATTTCTTTTTAAGTTATACATTCATAAAATTAATTAATATTTCTTTTTATTTTACATCAAAATGAATGTTTTGGATTTGAATGCATTACATTTTTAAAAATGTCTATGTAGTAATCTGTATTTTAAGAAAAAAGAAATTTTTTCAATCGTTTTATGTATTAAATTGTTTTCCAAAGACATTCGATATTCGAATCAATATTATTAACAAGATTCAATGTTAATAAATTAATAATAAAATAAATAAACTTCTATAAACGAATTTTACGAATAAACGGTTGAACAAATTAAACGGCAGTCCTCTTTGAACGAAATTCTAAAGTAATAAAGAAAATTTGTCAATTCCATCATTATGTAATTGCTAAATTATCGTGTCAAGAAACGCGAAGATCCAAAGATTTGAACGTGAAACAACCCAGAAATTTAATATCCTCATTGTCTCGCAACGAATCACAGAGACTCAGCCATCCGATATTTTTCAATCGTAATTGGCCAAGAGTCAAGAGAACAAAGCCGCAGATCGTTCATCGAAGTTTCCCAAAGGTCTCGGGGAACAAAACGGCGCACAAAGCTCCTCATAAATCGTGCGTAGTCGTTTTTCACGCGGTTTGCCGAAACTGACTCGTGATAGAGGGACAGAGGAGCGGGAAAACAAGAGAGAAACCGAGAGACAGACAAAGAAAGAGGAAGCGAAAAACAAAAAAAAAAAAAAAAAGAAAAGAGAGGAAAAAAACGGCAGAATCGCAATGGTAACAGCCGCTGTCGCGACGGCCAATGACTGGGGCCGATTTCGCCGGAGGGTGGCTTTTGAAAAATGACTGTCGGCCGCCGGAAAAACGGTGAAGCCCGGCTTTTGACGGTCCATTAGCGCGTGCACGTGGCCCATGCGTGGCCTATTATACCGACGATAGACGACACAACGAGGCCGGATATGATCGCAATTGCGCAAATAGTCCGAGCGTGCGCGTCGTTATTGCGATTAGTCGGTTAACCGAGGCTCAAACTCGTCCCATGGCCAAGTGGCCGGTCGCCGTAAGCATCATAAGAGGCGACTGAATGCGGTCTGGCTCGTTGCTGGCGCACCAAGGAGGCAGGGTCGTGCGCAGGGCAAACGCTGAACACTATGGAACGTGACCGCAGGTATCGGGCCGTTCCCGAACTTGCAATTAACAAAACAGATTACACTCGATCAACGAACGCCTATATCACTTCCGGTATCCGTGTGCAGGCCAACCGGATCTCTCTTCCGCGAACGATGCCTTCTACGAGCCCCGTAACTCTATGATGAATACCGGAATCCCCGTAGCAGCCTCTTGGTATCGGTCGATACGCCGCATCCGTTTCGGTCACGATCGTTTGTCGAATTAGTTTCAGATAACGGGGAGGCTTTCCGCCCCTGTTGCGGATCTGACGAGAAAGTGATCGTGCGAAGTGAGTGGGCGATATCGAGGCGAGGGGGAGGGGTTGTAGTTACCTCGTCA